ACCACACACACACACACACACACACACACACACACACACACACACACACACAGAGGCACTGATGTCTCTCCTGCAGATTTGAAATATGACTTTGAGCCAAACTCTGTATTTTTTGTTTAAAATTCAAAAATCATACCTGCAGAACTGCACGAGGTGAAGCCGTTAGACCAAAGTGAACCAAAGAAAAGTGAAAACGTTTTCACAGACAGACGCGTCTCTGTGTTTTTGTTAGTTTCATGAGTTGACTGGATTATTTTTACTCAAACTGTGGTGATGGACAGACTGACACTGAGATGGTGAATTTAATGCGTTTGTAGTCAAAAGAGCCGCGCAGTGAGGGACGAGCAGCAGACAAACATGGCTGTGGACATGAGAGACGCACTGTGCACTCACACATGATGCTGTTGCTTTTTTATTGGAAACATTTATCTGCTTTTGATGATCAGAAGCTTCTGCTTGAAATGAACCTGCAGCACACACTGATGCAGGGAGAGTGTGGGCTCGGTGTCTTTGCCAACAAACTCCCACTTCCTCCTTTTATTTTCATTAAGTTAAATAAACACTGGGTAAGCCAGAATAGTGTTTTTCATGATGACTTGTGTTTCCTACTAAAATGAGCTCAGTGGTGTGATTTCCTGTGTCAAACTGCTCCGTTATTAGACACACAGTGTAAATGTGGACAGAGCTCGTAGAGCAGCAGCAGCAATAACTCGAAGTTTCCTGTGGGACTTTATCGGTCTCTCACATCACTGTGGAGAGTTTTGACCCACTCTTCTTTACAGCGTTGCTTCAGCTCACTGAGGTTTGCAGGATTATTCATGCACAGCTCTGTGCAGGTCCCACCACAGCATCCCACACTCTGACTGCACCACTGCAGCAGCTCCATTCTGCTGCAGATCTGCTGCTGTGCTCGGGTCATCGTGGTGACCCAGTTCAGTCCACGCTTCAGCAGACAGACGGCCTCACGCGGTCACGCTGTGACTGCATCACCGTGCTGTAGTTGGTGTGAGGTGTTTGTGCTGCTATGATGTTTGGTTGTATCTGACTGTGCTGCTGTACATTATCGCCAAACATCTCCACTCTGGTCTCGTTTGTTCCAGAAGTCTTTGTTCAGGTGCAACTTTGCAAACTTAATCCATGCTGCCATGTGCGTTTTAGAGAGAAGAGGGTTTTTTTGCAGCCCTTCCAAACAAGCCACACTTGTTCAGGCTTTTTCCTGTTGCTGTGTGATGAACTTTAACCTTTAACGTGCCAACTGAGGCCCGTAGAGTCTGAGATGGAGCGTTGCACAGTCTGAGCTTTGGTTGAATTTGCCAGGCTGTAGATTCTGGGAACAGAAGCCTGAATCATCAACACCAACCTCTGCTTTTATCGAGGTGTTCGTACCTTTGGTGTCATTTAACCGGAATCTCTTAAGGCAGTGTAAAGAGTGTCTGTACAGCAGGGAGGGGAAGCTCTGAAATCCTGAAAAACAGAAGATTCAGTTCAACATGATGCTGTTTGTAAATCTTTGACATCAAGTCTGACAGTACTATAGGCAAATATCAAAAGTGTCTCCAGCTCTGCCTCACTGAGGATCCTCCTGACCCCGGCCATCACTCTCAGGCTCTCCAATCATGCTTTCATCGCTCCCACATGGAGCACTGTCCAAGCAAAGCCCTACACGAGCTGCAGCCTGTTCTGAGCTCAGCTGTTAGTCTGGAACAGTTTTTGCATCAGGCTGTAAACACAGACTCACTGAGGCGACACGGTTTGTTTTAGTTTCAATAGCGAGCATGAAACTGATGAGTCACTCAGAGAGTTATTAAATAGCTCCTGAGTATTTCCAGTTTTTAATCCCACGATCAGCTTCACTCTCATAAACCACGAGAGACAAAACTGCAGTAAACACACATACAAAGATTTGTATTATTATTAACTAGAACCCTGGGCTGACTCCTGAGACTCTCCTCTCTCTGCTGTCTGATCTCAAGAAAAGCTAAAAGTGTTTTGTGCGTTGCTGGTGCTGCGTTTGTGTCCAGCTTCAGTGTTTTTCATTGAATTCTGTGATATAATTTATACAGATAACTTTAACAAAAGTGGAGACGTGTTTTTGGTGATGGCTGTTCACAAACTGAATCAAAAACCATCACAATGAGAGCGGAGCCACCAGTTGTAGAGCTCCTCTCATCCAATCAGAAGGCTTCACGGCTCGCCGCTCGCCTCCTGACGTGGAGTCGAGCACTCCTGGTTCCACACCGATGGATGAAGAAGTGTTTTTCAGCAGAGCCTCCTCACGGTGACTCAGCAGCTGTGCAGCTTTATAAGGAGGCAGCAAACCTCAGCCTGTCACCACGGAGACGATGGCCCGGCTGCTCCGCATTGCCTGCATCCTGGTCTGCTGCCCCGCGCTGCTGCAGGGCAAAGCTTCAGGTAAGCACACCTGAACTTGTCAGTGGTGAGTCTGCCGCTGTGCTCAGATTTCATTAGTTTTGTTTAAGGTGCACTAATGGTGCTATTTTTATACCTGCATTTGTTTCCTGCTCACAGCTCTGCTTTGGTTCCTACTGAAGATCATCGTTGTGTTCAGTTTGGACAGGATGATATTTTAAAATTAAAACTGAGTCAGTGGACATTAGATTTTAAGGACACACGGGCACAGCTGAACTGTCCAAAAGGACGTACTCTACCAAAAATCGGATCCACCTTTTAATCAGACCGTGGATCCAGCAGTCTCACCTGCTGCAGCTGCTCATTTATCAACGTTTAAATCAGTGTTTATGTTACAGAACACAAGGTTTAGTGTTACTGACAGTTCCAGTGAACAGCAGAGAGCCGGCTGTTAGCGAGATGTGGACGACTGCAGTAATTCTCTGATTTCCAGCACAGCTCTTTCCTTCTGTTAACCTCTATAAGAGTCTGAATCCCCTCAGAACCAGGCTGTGGCAGATTTTCACCTCAAATTATTTTTCAGGTGAACTGTAATCAAAGCTCAGCCTTCTTCTGTGTTTTTAGCATTTCCCCTGTTTTGCACGTCGTCCCCGTCACGGTTGGACAGACGCCGCTGCTGAAGGCGCTCCTCTGTCCCTCCTGTTGCTGTTTCTTGACGATGTTTCCTGTCGTTGTTCAGAGTACCAGCTGGAGTCAGAGACACTGAGCCGATGTGAGCTGCTGAGAGGCGTCGCTGTTGCCAAAGAGCAAGATGAGATCCCTCACTGCGCTGAGGGCGGCAGGTTCAGGTGCTGGATTTGTTTTTTTATAATCGTGATGAAGAAATATCAGCAGCACCTCTGAGCCACAATATGAACACTCGTGTATAATATTTAGTTCAACTTATGAAGCACAAACAGCTTTACACAGAAATCCTCAAACTTTTTATTTTTACCAGCCAGATTAACAGTTTCTGTGTGTGTGTGTGTGTGTGTGTGTGTGTGTAGACCTGTGCAGTGCAGTGGGCGGGGTCAGGAGTGTTGGTGTGTCGACACTGAAGGTCAGGAGGTCACTGGGACTCGAACCAACGGCTCAGCTCCTCATTGTGAGAAACACCAAAACACACACGTCTGACATCACAGATCACATGATGCAGGAAACTTTCTTCTCTGCTCTTAACATCACGTTTAATTCTCCTGCTGGGGATCTGGTGTTGTACGATGGTAATAATTATAACAGTGTGGAAAATAAATGAACATATTACAGCTTACAGCACAGACGGGCCTAAATAAGATATAAAGTAGGAAAGAATAAAAATAATAATAAAACAAATTACATCATACTTTTGAAAATTGCTCATTCATGTAAAAATAAACACAAATAGCTTAAACATTACTGTAATCTTTCTTGCATATTTCAATATTTAACTTCAGGAAAATGAAGCTCTGAGAATCTTTTATTT